TAAACAATCAAAAGGACGGAAGCATTACTCTGACGTGTAATGGAAATAGGAAACTGATAGAGAAACGTATAAAATAATAACAACAAACTAGATAATTATAAGCAATGATTGTTAAAATAATAATAAATACAAATAAAGTTAATGAGGTAGGATGAGGATGTTCTCTCTTTAAATAAAAGTACAATCATGCCCCTAGACTGTTTCCTTTGTAAATAATATCCATACATAAACGATCGCAGGCAACAGGGCACATGGAAATATTGATAGCATTCGCGGATAATTGTCAAACGCAGTTTCGTACCCGATGAATTAGCACCAAATGTGCGCTGATATAACTGGGAGATTTGCGTGTGCGCGTGTTGATAAACTCGCCAGGCTTTACGTAACATCCAACCACCGCGCACGTAACCAGTGAGTTCTTGTTGTAGTAACGTTAATATCGCCGAGCACACCTGCGAGTCCGCCAGCACTATTTGTCTTTCCAGTCTATCGACATAGTCTTTCTAGAATATTCATTCCTTAATTGGCATTTGCAGATGTACGTCAAGCGTTTCAATTTAAAATAGAAAGAAGAAACATTTCTTCTAAGAGTAATTACGCCTGTTTCGTCCGCCCTGAAGACTCTACTCTTCATGGACTTCAGCCATCCTATGTCGCTCGCGCATTCCCTCTCCATATCCTTCAGAAGCAGAATAGCTTGCTGGAGTTTGTCATCTTCGAATGTCATCAAAGCGTTCTAAAAATTTATGTTAAAATTATTTACTGCTTTGCCTATTTTTAGAACGTGCAGGGTGTTTTAAAAATTGTAAATATAAGAAATCTTAACTGATTAATGGAAGTGATAGTACAAGATTAGTAGAAGAAGGAAAGAAGGCTTGATAAATTCCGTTTTTGAGATATTCAGCTGTTACAAATTATAAGTCACTTGGATAAAACACGAAGAATCATTTTAAGTTATACAATAATGCTAGTCAAAAGATCGCCAATTATCGATATGCGAAGCACGCGTAGAGAATATTTCTTCGAAACTAGTCGCATGGATGGGATAAAATGTTTGTACAACTTCCGTCTGCTTCAGCTGAAGAAACATAAACAGTGATAGTGATGATTCCTGATCATGAATCCGAGCAAGAAATTTGATCAATACCCGAAGCTCTGCGCAATTTAATCGACTGAAACTTTAACAGTACTTTAGAACCTTTTATCATCCAACAGAACACGTAGAAATAAAAATGTTATAATCCAAATGAATATTTCAAGCGAATCTTCATCAACCAAATCGCGTGGGTACAAGTCGTAATAAATATTTTTCGTCTAAATATTTAATTATGCAATTAACACGTTAGCCGTTTATACACCTTATACGGTGGCACGCAATGCAGTATGCGAACGTTATTGCAAAATTCCTTGTTTAAAATAGAATTGCCCGCGTGCGATCAATGTGACCTGAAAACCTTTCTGTATTTCGTACTATCTATAACAAAAATTCAATAGTGACATGATTAACTCTCCTATTATCGCCCTAAGAAATAACCATCATACATTACCCGTTACTCGCGTACCATAAATAAAACGAAGCAGCGACCGGCTTTTATGTGAAAGCTATGCGGGTGTCCAGTAAATAGAGCTTCGGCCTCCTCAGTTTTGTTATTTAAAAGAAGGGAAATCCCCAGTCTGGCGGTGCTCCATTCCTTCGCGTCCTCAGATTTCTTAGCCATGATTCTTTAAGTATTTCTTAACTTTTGTTAACGCAGATGACTATATTTGAAAAAAAGCGGAGAGTACCGTAGTATCTGTGTCGTAGAACACGTGTGCGTTAGGTCTGGATTAGGTACTCGAATTCTCGAAGTTACTTTCAAGAAACAAACAGTGACGGTGTTTTATGTTTCGCACAAACTTAACAAAAATTTCCCCAAGGTTAAAAGCAACGCTATTGCTTTGGGTTGTCGGCGAATTTACGTCACGGTGCTGGGAAGCGCGTTCGGGTTGCCGTATCATCGTGGATAAGCATGGGAAACATTCTTCCCACAACTGTGGCCATTTCCCCCATTATAGTGCTCTGCGGGAAAGGAAAATCAAAGGTGAAATCTTTCGTTGTAATCAAATAAAATGTTTCGTTAGAGAAAAAGGAGCTTTTCCTACTAATGCAATGCACCACTTCCGTCATGGGTATCGGTCACTTTCCACAGGCAGTAAGTTGTACATTTCCATGAAAATGGAAAAATTGAAAAAGTAATTAAAAAAAATGAAAATTTTTTTAATAATTAGCGAATGTTTTGAATATTCACTCACGAGATCGAGTCGAACGCAGCTTTTGAGGTTTTATTTCGATTTAAACTCGAAAATTCTAATTATACTTTTAGTTTAACAATTTCCGCTTTATATTTATTATTATTGGATTATCTTTACTCTAAAAGCAACGTGAGTTTCGTGTCGAGAGTTTTGCGCGATTCGAAGACTAACATGAAAAACTGAACTTTACAATCACTACTTCAAGCGAATTTAATTAAGAAACTGTTTATAATTATTTTGTAAAATTCGATTTCGATATCAACGAAGTGTAATTCTCTCTCTATCTTTCTATGGTGCCACGAGTTGACTAAATCCTCTCGGCGTAGCGCATTGCTGCTGCCACCACTGCCAGCTTTCTGTATATATGTATATTATTGATTTTACACTATATACGTTACGACCCTGAAACCATATTACGCTACCGGAGAAAAGTTCCTCCCATGTGATTTTCCGAGGTGAAAATTTAGAAAAAGGACTGAAATAAAAGAAATAAATCAATCGGAATACTGTTGTATTGCAGACAATGTAATGATTAATGTATAAAATAGCACCATGAGATTTCTATTCCACAATTTTTGTACGATATTGATTCCGGCTAAAATAGCGATTTCCGTCTTACATATTTATAAGTGATTAGCTTCATGACATTTATATGAAGGTATATTACAGCAGTCACGTTTGTTATATAAATAGGTATATAAGTGTGCTACAAAAGTTGACGAACGTTGAAGAACATTCGACGCTTTTGCATTTTAGGGGGAACAATATTCATATCTTTTAGAGATCTGTGCGAAGCAATTTTACACAGACTTCAATGAGATGTTTGATAACAAGATTGTACTATAAAATCTGTACATTTATTTACATAATTTTTTTAAATTAAATAATACTATTCCTAAGCGGAATGTTAAATAAATTCTAGTCCCTCGAACTTTTTATCTACTACTTTAACTTCCGGCATTAAAATTACTCCATCGAGTGTAAATGCCGTGATGTACGTGGCAGTCTGTCCTTGGTATTCTTCGGTTTTGAGAGCCACGATAATCGAGTCTTGAGAGCCTGGTAGAAATTTGAAACTTGAGAAACCTCTAAGTGGAATTAAAGTACCAATTTTGATAACCTGAAAACAAGAATTTATCAATACAAAATTTTATTTTATGACCCAATAAATGCGCTGAGTCACAGTATAAAGATAAAGAAGAGATAAATAAAAACCTTGATATCTACAAAATTTTCATCTGTCATTAATAAAACATTACAACTCATTGTTTCATCTGTAGTCTCATTGTAACGTTCACGAGAACATCGTCTTGGTAGAAAGAACCAACTTTTATGTATATCGCTCCAAGCTCCTGATTCATGAATCACATAACCTATTAAAAAGGTAGTATTTAGTAATTAATTTTCGTAGTCGTATATAAAATAATTGTATGTGAAATGAATAATCGTGTACCCGGATACTCAATATCGATGGCTTGCCTTAATCGTTTATAATTTGAAATCCAATTCAAAGAATGAATTTCACCACGGGGAGATAATACTTTTATCCATAGTGGATTATTGTGTAAAAATTCTCCTGATGGGGTAGTCCATTCTTTGCCCATACTGCCAATGTATAGGTGTTCGTCTTTAACAGTTGCCCATTCAGATTTAAATCCTGGAAATGAATTCATATATTTAATACCAATATTCTCATAGATTAACTAAAACTACAGATGATAAGCTCGACCTACCTTTAGAGTTTTTGCCATTACCATCCATTAATATGACCCAAGGATATGCTTCCTCTCCTTCGATAATGTATACTACTCCAGTACGATCATCGAAAGACAGTAAACGTCCATCAAAGGTAACTAATTCTGACAATTCCATGCCACGTCCTTTCATAGTTAACGATGATGTTAACATATGGTTTCTATCATCCCAAACGATAGAAAGAAAATTCGTGGTAGGATTCCAAAAGAGACTTCCAGTCTTCATGATGCTGTGCCACACATTCTTTTTGTCTAAACTTTTGGAATCATGATCAAGATCGCTCACCATACCTATTCTATAGGTAATTCCATTTGAAGTTCTAATCGGAGTCGATAAAGGGTATGTCTTATTGTACTTGTGATACCGGCACTGAGTTAAATACTCATTCGATGTCGAAGAACGAATACTTCCACGCAACAAAGGAAAGCCGAGTAAAAATAAAGGAACACTCAGTAATACGAAAATTAGTGCCAAATATTGACTCTGAATACGAAAAGTACTGTTGGCAACTCTGTAGACGTGCGGAGTACGTAATGCTTGCCTCCAGTCACGCAAATATGACATGTTGTCTGTATTTCCGTTCTGCATTCGCATCCGTTTCATTTGTTACACTAAAAAAATTAACGTCAAGCTTATGAGCATGTTTAAACTGACAACTAAAGACTTAACCTAACATAACCTAACTTCTTTCGTCGCCATAGTTGACGACGATGAAAGGAAAACGTCGACAAGTGCATTCTGCGCCATCTAAAATGGATTAGAGTTTAAATCATGTTAAGAATAATGTCATACAATATGCCGTCTTTCATAACTTTCTATTTAACATCTAATGAGGTTATTGAGAATTTTCAAAAAGGATACTTTACAAAACATTTAGTGTACTAAGAAATGCAACTTGTAGAAGAATGTGATTATGGAAGAAAGAAAAGGCAGAGGCGTGGATAAGGTATATATTGAATAAATGCTTTACAAAAATTGGATTGAAAAAGTTTTTATTTTTTTGTTAATTAAATCTTCCGTATTGTACAAGTTCTTATATGGGTGATAGTAGGCATAGCGACGTAAGGGGAGTTATCAACAATCATTTCAATATTTCGTTACATTATAGTGGTTCATCTTTACAGCTGTGTTTATTATTCTTGTAGTTAACTCTTCCCAAATTCTATAATATCACAAATAGCATTTCAAATTGATTAACGTCGTTTATGTTTCACATTAAACGTTCTGTGCAAAACTATATTAGAGTGACGATCATTTTAATTGTAAACGCTGTCTATAAAAGATGCTTGTATTCAACTTTTTGGGTTGGCACCGATAGGGTTAATATGGCGGATAAAAATAAGAAACGAGAACGTCGGGAACTTTCTTGTATCGGAAAGGTATCAATTTATACCGTGTCAATAGCGATGCAAGCGGCCGCTTGCATATTCTTGAACGTTGGGGTTGAACGAACGAGTCTGGGGTGAAACGAATCGAGGGGGTGGAAAAGGGGAATCGAGAGGAGGAAGGGAAGCGTACGAGGGTGGCAAAGTACTCGTCAGTCGTGTAACGCGTTTCCCGCCGAGTACATCGGTTATATTGGCAATATATTAAATAGCGGCCGCATTTCCAGTTTCCACGTGTACCTCGCGTGTGTCTTATGAGATCTGATTGCTATTGGCTATCGCAGTTCCGCGGCAACCTGTATTATCGATTGAACGCGTTTTGCGCACGTTGCCGCAGTTACTTGTGGCACCGCGCTACCATTGCACGTACAGTACTACCGTCCCGTTGTTTACGTCCAATCACACACAGATTCAGATCGATTTATCATTTCAAAATTCGCGTCGTCCAGTGTACCATCTCCTGTGTCCTCTGGATTAAAATGCTTGGCGTTTATCGAAGTCACTCCTCGGTACACGCTTGCTGTCAAAATCGCCGTCTAACCGCCATGTTTCATTTCAAATTCTACGTCACGTGCATCGGTGAAAAAGTAAACTCTCTGCCCTTGTCTATTTGTTGACATCGGTAAGGAAACACGCCATTCACGAACAGTATGGCCAACTTGTTGATAGTTTCATGGATTGGCCAAATTGTGACGTGAGATTATTTCTAATATCGTCTCGATGTGTTTCGAGATCACTGATCGATTCTTGATCTGTTTTATCGATGTTGGGTGTTTTCGATTTACAATCTGCCGCCACAACTGGGAAGAAGGGGTCGGTTCTGTTACTGCACGGTGAAAATTAAGAGTAGAAAGGACAGTTGCTTCGAATTACATTCGGTGTTTAGGATAAAAGTATTCGGTATGATTAGTGAAGATATTTTCAAATATACATCATACGTGTGATACTGTCGGATGTGTTGTGCGTGATTTCGTTGAAACGTAATTACTGCGAACCGAAGTTTTCGTGCGATTATGGTGTTACGGTTAACATCATGTGATACTCTCCTTTTTCCGTTCGTGGATGCACACTCATGGAAAGTTACAACGAAATCATCAAATTCCCGGTGTAAAAGGTAAGGTGTAAAATATTACATTACACGAATAGAATTAAATGTTACAGCAATTACGCTCGTTGTACATTTTACGTGTGTGTATTTGATTGTCAGCTCACGATTTGTTTCGATTTTAACCAAAAACGGTACAATAAAATCGCGTTCTCTTGTAATTGTTCAGAGATTAGATATTCTGTCCATTTCTAAAAAATTTCTTTTAATTTTCAATTATTTAACATTTATCGTCAACCCTTTTTACTTATGTTTTTTTTTCTTTATCATTTTCCTGTATTCGGAGACAATTCTGTATTTTTTGTTGAATAATTTTTGTGTAATTCTGCAAACAATAAGATATATTCGACATGCTGTGTTGGAAGTATTGCAAGTACTCTGTTTCATTTATCTACATAGTGATCTATATGGTTGAATAGTCTAGGTAGCAATAGCAATTTAGTGATAATAATACAAGGAACAAATAGTCTAACTATTGTAGAATCAGCGAAATATATGCAGATCTACTATAGGGTTAGGTTAGAAACAATCTTTCAGCTGAAGCTTGCATTTTCTATACAAGATCGGCATATTATTTTACATGTTATCTTTCTTATATTAATCCGTGCGTTACAGACATTAAATCGATCAAATAAAACATACAAATATGTCTCATAACTTATAATACTTATTGTGAAATTTTTCAATTTTTCACATTACAACTGTCATATCTTCCAATATAAATCAACTCTTCAGCATTTAAACCGATTATGTTGCTCTTGTCTACATTTATTACGTATTGGTGAATGCAGACCACATTCTACATAGAATGGTGAAAGTGAGAATGTATTATACAGTAGGGGTAGATCGGGAACTCGGGCATAGGGTTAAAAGGACATCATCTGATCCTGATCTGCAGATGTTTCATCCGAATTTCAATAATCCACGTGACTAAAAAATTTGCAATAACTTCTTTTAATCACAAATTATTTTTTGTTTTTTTTTTTAGTTTAATTTTTGTAGCATAAATTTTGCCTTAGAAATATGTGATAATAATCCTAATTTTCAAGCTAAATTTTTTAAATAATACCTAATATATCTTAAGACACGTGTCCAAGGGAATATGATTATTATAAAATTTTCGCTATTTTAGCTAAAAGTATGGATTTCACAGTGTAGGTTTGAAGGTGCTTAAGCAGTATAAATTGGCGTATAATTATGATTATCAATGAATCTCTCGAGTGCCAGTTATCGAGTTATTATTATTTATTAAAATTGTTGTTGAAGTTAACAGTGCCGGATTTATCGAGATCTGAAGCTAATAGTTAAGAGAACCCTTCTCTCTTTCTAAAATATTTTATGGAAGGCAAATGCTATTTTTCTACAGTATTATTCTCCGTGTAGGCATTTCAAGCGTCTCAGCGTGTGACGAGCATGCGAATTAGTGGCGCTACAGGGCCACTAATAACAGAGTATCGATGAAATTACAAAATAAAGCAAAGTAATTAGATTTTTTAAACAATATAAAACAAGTAATATCTCGTGTAAAGAAGCTACGCGAAGCGAGACTACTTGTATCGGGAGTTGGTCGTATTATGTTTAAAATAAAGTTATCGCTGGCCAACTCTGGCGTCGAATAACGTTCTAGACAGAATAGGATATAGACGGAAGGTAGACTCACCCGTTTCATAGTTCGCTGCAAGGGTCCGAGGTAATCTAATGCCGTGGTAGGGCTAGTTGTAAGAAGACACCAAGGTATTACGTAGGAAGCATCGGCCATGACGTCGTGTCGTCGAACGTTCTTCAAGGTTGTCGACCTTAGGAGCGTCTCGTATAAATGGTCTGCTTGCACGAGACGTAATTGTGCTTAGAAGATGGCGTAGGAGGAGGACGGATAAATGGGATAGGAAAAAGACGGAGCAAGTGTGCGCTTGGGATAGGGGGATGACTTCGTGGGGGTTGGTCGAACGACAGTGCTGAGGGGTGAGTTTCGGTGACGTCGTGCCGAAACGGAGGGTAACGAATGAATGTGGACGGAAAGCAGTTGGAGGGAAAAGGGAAAGTGACTGTATAAGGATGGTATGGGGGCTCGCGTGGGTGCGCTGGTTGCATCGCGGTTATATAGGTTTGCACTTTCTATTAGAACTTATCCTAGCCTGAAAACTGTCGCTATAGTAATGTTTTCAATTCTGAAGTATATTATAATTAGACTGTGAATTTTGTTTTGTTTACAGGGAATTCGATTGTGCAAGAAGCTTCAAAATGCATACAATATATAATAATATAAAAAAATATTGAAAGTGAAGTTCACATTATAATATTTGCAATATTAAATTTTCACTTTTCACTCATTTTCACTTTTAAGATTGAATTTAGTTGAAATATTTCCCCTCGACAAAATACTTCATAAAACTTCTTAAATAGTTCACAAGAGAACAGAATTTAAAAAACTTAGTAACTCATTCATAACCATAAATATGATTAGCGTCAAGGTTTGATTTTATTAAAGACGATAATCTTTGGGTGCTCTTCGGCACAACAGTCTATGTGTGTATAGTGGATGACTAGTCTGTACCCAACCTATCGACGATGTATTGCCATGGAAACGGCACCGTCGTCGCACAGCCGGTATTATGCTGCATACCGCATAGTTCGTACCATGGTAGTACAACGAATTTTCAAGTGAATCACTCTAGCACGTCCTCAAAAATGAAAGTAATCGATATTTTTCGTGTCACCATTTCTAGAATCCGTGAAACATTAGTTCAAATTACTTGGTTGTCTTTATTATCCTATTAGAAAGTAATGAGGAGGGGACATTCGATTTGAATGCATCAGGCTTGGGCCAATTTGATTCGAAATAATTTTAAATATAAAATGATTATTTCCAAAAATATTTCATTAAATAAAATAACACAAATGTATCGTACAAATGAAATAATTTCAAATGTGTTCTGATAAATACTTTATTTACATTTGTTTGCATGGTGTACAAAAATTAATAGAATGATTTTAATTTACGTTAATTAGTATAAAATTATGTTATATGTTAAATATACAACTTTCTATATTCTTTTAAGATGTTTTTTTTTTATTTCATCGCGTCAATCATCGATGACCAACCATAGATTCTTCGTTCACTGTCATATCGATTATCGGTAACCGACAGTTATCCCTTGTACAGTTACGATTAGACTTTGTGGATCCAAGCTTATAAAATTCGACTATAAACGTCATATAATGATAAACTGGGTCACAAATTAAGTATAAAATAGATCGAAGATTCGGTAGGAGCACAAATGAAATATATAATAAATATTGGATGTTGGTGTTGTAGGAACTGTTATACCGACCTCGTAATGCATCGATAGGCTCGTAGTGACCTCTTCGTTTAAGAACGGTGATTCTGAGAACTATATTCGTTTGAACCATCGAATTCGATACAATTACACACACGATCAATATTACTAAGTGGAGATTAAATGGAGATGTGTTTGCAGTAATATTCGTAAATAAAACCGAACTAAACATTATAATTGTATTTTATTTATTTTAAAAGTTTGGTTTTATTAGAAACGATCATTTTTTAATGTTCTTGGTGCACAATTATTTTCCACTCGTAGTTTGTTTTTAACGAGGACCACACGCCTGTAGGGCAAACATAAACAGCCTAACAAGGCACCTTTTTTTCTATGCTCGTTTTACATAATGTCCATATAAATGACTTGTATCATCTGGATATCATAAGATAGTACATTGAACTATAAAAAAGGGAACTGTAACTTTGGTTACTCAATGTAAACAGTGATGACTTCTAATCCTGAATCCGAGCAACGATTTTGATCAATAATCGAGGCATTATTGTTTACTTCGTATATGGTTCCCCATTCTTGGTTTAATTGGATTGGTAGTGATCGTAGAATGTTGTGTTTCAGGAAACGGACGAAAGAAGGTGGAATGAGGAGATTGAAACGGTGACCTCGTGCCACGCGCGGTGATGCTACTGGCAAGCGGTGTTTCGATACCGACCATCGCCGGTACCCTCGAGGAGGAGGACGAATATGCACGTAGCGAGGCGAACAGCGCGCACTACGATGGCTATGTTACCGATCATACGGATCTCGCTTCCGAAATCGATATCGACGAATCCGAGTACAGGCGGGAGCTTCTCAACGATGTACGTACACATACATCTACAGTGGGTGTAGAAAGTATTCGTACACCGATCAATTTCCAAAAAAACTGTGTAAAATTGTAATTTATTAACTTATTTTTTATAAACAATGACATTCTACATATTCTCGGAAATGTCTAAAATAGATAGATTACAAACAAAAATAGCTATTTATGTAAGTTGCGAAATTAACAAGAAAAAAAACAATTAATCGATAGAAATGTTGAAGCAATAAGTATTCGGACAACTGTTTAAAAGTACTTTATTGGAAATTTTATGTTTTCTAATTCGCACGGAGCAATAAACTAATGTGTTTACATTACAAACTCTGCTGTAAATAGTTCGTCATAAGAATCGTCCAAATACTTATTGCTTCTATACTTTCACCCACTTTTCGCATCTTTTTGTTAATTTCACAAATTATATTAACTAGTAAATGTTGTTTGGACTATATCTATCTTAGAGACTTCTGAGAATATGTAAAATATCATTGATTACAAAAAAGAAGTTAAGAAACTACAATTTCACACAAAAGTTTTTTGGGAAATTGATCGGTGTACGAATACATTCTACACCCATTGTACATGTACACACTTGCTACTATTAGGTGTAGAAATTGATTCTGTATCTTTATATTTTTTTTATACTACTCTATCTATACTAATATTATAAAGCGATAAAATTTGTATGTAGGTAATTGATCAAAATTTGATATGTAAAGTTATAATTTCAATATTTTAATATTTCGTATCACATGTTCGTTTAAAGAATCTTTACGTAACAAACTTTTTATACAAATCAGAAACGTTGTTTTAAATAATTGGGTGGTACATAATGTATGAGAGATAAATATTGAGAAATACAACTTCCCATGAATGTTTAAATCTCGTTTTGGGCCATAAAGACACGAGGAGATAACTAAATTGCAAATGTTCCATGGTCCGAGTTGTTTAAAATGATTGCCAGCGTTTATCCGCTTTAATTTGATTACAGAAATGGCGGATGCTGTTTGATAAGGTACGTATAGGTACTTGGCGGCATATGTATTGCCAAAAAATCCCCCTACTCGACGCACGGCTCGAGCGTGACTGATTTCGCTCCTTCAGTTTGATCCGGAGGGTTTTGGCGAGATACCAGTGGAGGATTTTTTGGCGGCTCTGAAAAGTCCCGAATGGAAAGCCGAGATACCCCCGAATAAACGGGATATTCTCCTCACCAGGGCAAAGGAGTCACGTGTTCATGCGGTGACGTTTCAGGATTTCGTCAATGTGGTAAGTGCTCTGCAAATTAAATTATTCTACTTTGGTATAATTCTACGAAGCCAGATTGTTTTGCCTGAAATACTTTACCATATTATTCTGTATAAATTATTACTAAACCATCGCTAAATTTTGGCATGAAATCTATAGAAAATTTGGGAACAAATATTTAGGTAGGCTTATCCTAGACACTTTTATCTGAACCATTTTTTATTCACATAGTTACATATATATCATTCTGGTTTATTTATAATTTATAAAAGGCCTGACCTAAATATATTCGTCTAAAACATGTTTTCATTCAACAAATTATATACATATCTTTTCATTTTATTCTTTTTATATCATTACTAAGATATCATTACTTCAGAACATCAATGTTTTAATCTTAAACCTCACATGAGCAGTAACAACCTCCTATGCTACCAAAAATTTGATTTACGTCAAAGAAAACACAATTTATTAGAATGAAACCACATAGTATAGCTAACATATTTACAACATATTTCTCATATTCGTAAAATTATACGTTTAAGGAGCGACGGAATTCGTATAGCCTTTACTCTATGAATACAATAACATTGAATAATTTTTATTTAAAGAGATGCCATTAATAAAGTACAAACTGAAACATTCACCGAAAAAAGGAAAAACACACAATACTCTAAAAGAGCTACATATCTGTTCATTTTAATTTCGATCTGTTCCTTTCTATAAAGAAAAACAAAATTATAAAAGAACCGCAATTTTCGGTCCCGAGAGCCCATTCCTCTCGAGAGCGTGTGCCAAAAATAAGCTGGAAACTGAGGCCAGATTTTTATCTGGTTTCTTGAAAAGCACGCTTCGTAGGAAGCAAACGGAGAAAGGAAACGGGGGCTAGAAAAAGTTCGCGACAGTTAAATAGACTTATTCCACTCGACGGGCAAGTTCGGAACTTTTCATTGTCCGTTTATTTGTCAATCCGAAAAATGCGGCCGTTTTTGGAATTTCGTTTTCACGGTATTAGAACGACAACGAGGAGCCAAGATGTATGAGGGGGAGGAGTTTGGAGGGAGGGCACCATGCGACCAGAAACTGGTAGATAAATATCGGAACAATGATAATCTCGACGTTTAAAGGTATAGTACACCGACGGGCGGCCCTTTGTTCGCGTTCAAGCTTGCTGACAAATTTTTGGCGGTTTCCTCCCTCTCCCTTTTTTTTTACGGTCCTGGGGAAGTAAGTAAATCCGACGTTGAGTGGCAGAAAATTGTCCACGTACAAATAGATCTAGTTTGAATCTCGGGTTAAACGAGCGGAATTAATACGCCAGAAATTTCATCTGTGATCTAATTATTACTAATGGATTATTCACGTAAACATTTTACAACCAATTAACGATGCCTTGCAAAAGGAAGGAATTCATATTGTTTTCTTACTCATTAATTACTGCGGAGACCAATATACCTCGCTTTATTTTAGGGATAATATTTTCCTCACAGTATTGATTTTAGTAATAATTTCATACATAGCTGTACAGGGACTGTTTACATTGCAACGTTAAAAGTTTGTTGGATAGGATTGATCACATTGCGGATATTCACATCTTGTGTTTCTTTTTCTTTTTTTTCTTGAATAGACACAAATCTCTTTATCTGGTTTACTCGGCTTACTTGGATCACCGAGATAAAATTCAGTTGAAGATCAGCGATAAATCTGGGATTTGCAAATACCTACGTTAAAGGGAAAGGGGAAACCGTTGGAGATTTTCTTCTGTTCCGTATATGAATGTTTCCCTTGTATGAATAGATTTTGTTCCATCAAAATATTTTTCAGAGACTCTCATCACTTGAGCTTGTTATTCAAACATTCATTCGGATCGTTCTTTTCCAATGTTTTATATCAACCAAACTTGCTAGAAATATCAACTGTTAATAATTATTTGTCGATACAAAAGCTAGTTTGAAATTCACACGTGAAGGTGAAACTTTGTTGTGTAAATATTTATTAGTAATACTTTTGAATAAAATAAATTCAAGATGAAATGTATAAGTAGCATTTCTAGTAAGGAATGTAGAAGGATGTTTTGTAATTTATCGCAAAGACCACTTTATTCATCTAGTTATTATATAAGATATATAATAACTAGATGTTATTAGTAGATAAAGACCACTTTATTCCTACAAAATTTTGTTTTTGATATACGTACATGTACAATACGGGATCGACGGATCAGGTGAAGGTAAAGTAGTTATTTACTTTAAGCAAGAACAAGAATATATTTAATATACAATAAATGAATGATACATACATAGGTCTTTACAGGTTGGTAGGCTGATGTCAATGACTGACTTTCGGCTCTTACCACTTAATCCTCTAAACAAAAGAGATACTCTTCTGGGCGCATGCGCGTGTGTCCTTGGCGCCTGCTGTTTGTTTTAAAGGCTATGCCGCCATTATCACGCTATCCTACATACATGTACTCATTCTTCAATTACCAAATCATTGTTTATTGACTTGCGAGATAATGAAGGTTGGTGTATTTATTTTTCACATAATTTGTGCAATCCTTTATTTTTCTCCTTCTTCGAGTTATAATCGTCGTGCACAGCTTAGTGTCATTTACCACGTAGTGGCGATTACTATCTTTTTCACGAAGTGATCGCAGTGAAAAGTGAACCGTGCGCTCTTCCAGCCTGTTCGCGTTTGTTATCCATGGTTGAATACCAGGAATTTCGTTCTTTTACTGTAAGAGAGGACGCGGGATGATAGGATTAAACCCGCAGGTGGTTAAAGGTAGACGCAATTATTCAGGAGCTTGGAATCGCAAGCATTCTCTCCACGGTAGTATGATTTATGGTCGACGGGATCGAACGACGGAAACCAGGATTTCCGTGGCATGCACCTCTCTCGTTGCACTATATACCGTTTGCATACTTAATATTTTACACGAACCATACACGAACGTGATAATCTCGTTTGTAGCGCGATCGAGACTACGCATATTTTACCATCGCGGGGCGTTCTATCAATTAAAACGCGAAATTTCAATGTTTTTTCAAGTTTTTCTAGGGAAGTCGTTCATCAAATTGTTAGAGACATTCAGGAAAAAACTCAGCTGTGAATTAATGAAATAATAAATTAATTATAATCAATCATATTCAGCGAGAATTTCGTTGACGAGTTTTTAATCGAAAAATTACCATTAAAATTTTCAATTTCGTATGAAACGTTCTCGTTTATATATTAAAATTATTACATTTTTATTAATACATTCAGTTTTTTTTTTATTAAAATCATCGCATATTTATACAAATTCGCAGTATTTCAATGATGTATTAAAGTGCTTAATGTTGATTAAAATGTTCAATGTGCTTTTGAAATTCTCAATTCTTTATGAATATTCTCAATACTTTTCAGTTTTTTTTTTATTATGAATATCCTCAACGTCGAGATAAAATTCAAGTTTTTCTACTCGCATTTTGCTGAAATTATATAATTAATTCTACATAAAATTATGAGTTCGACCAGTAAAATTAATTCAATTACGTTCGTTTTATTCGTTATCCATTAAAATAAAATTCTAAATAAACGTATCACACCGTTTCACTAAAACTCGAGTGGCCAACGTAGAAACCACGTGGAACGCAACAAGGGCAACAAAATTTAAAATTTCCCTGCAGGGTTCAGGGGGTCTGCGTGTCGCAAAAGCAGCTGCCGTATCGGCGGGGTGGAAAGGCAAAGGTGCCCAGAAAGACGCGACTCCGAGTGAAAAAAAGTCAGGGAGGACTTAATAAATAAGTCTCCTCGTAGACGAGTGACAGTAGTACGATTTATCGTCGAGATTTACGAATAAGAGGGAGCACCATAGCGGACGCTATAACGAGATGAAAGAACCAAAAGTGGAGGCGAAAGGAGAGGAGAGAATTTTCTTAAATTGCACTTTGTAGCTCCTGAGAGACCTTACACAGGGATTTCGACGCCCACGGCGAGGGATAACGAGGCGAACCTCGGGGTCCTCTCTTCGTGGAGGTGAGACACACGTCGGTGGGTCTCTTCGTGGCAATGCGCGCGGCCCACAGGGACATAATTGATATCCGGGAAGAGCAAAGGAGAGAAGAATGAACCTGGTGGACCTCTTTGGACGTGGCGGAGAGCAAGAGGAAAAAATTACCTTACGCAGGGGCGACCCCCGACACGAAACGAAGAAGGACGGAGGACCACCGAGATCGTGTTCGGAATCATCGACTTGCCGAAACTCTGGCAAAGGCCACCTAAGCGCCGACTATGCCCTTCTTTTATCTTCTCGCTTCTTTCGACGGTTCTCCCTCCTTTTCTTTAATGGTCGGTTCAGCGCTGGGCAAACATCCAGTGACCACCTACATCCGAACTAATTGCTAATCGCAGCTCGCCAAAGGATCCTCCTTTCGTATCTTTATCTCTATTTTTCGTACGTCTTCTTCGCTCGAGTCTACGCCCAAACGTCTTCGGGACGCGTGTTATTTATTGTAGACGATCGGACAGCTCGCACTTTCTATTGCGATGAAACGCGCCAAAGTCGGGGATATTCGAGTTTATTTGGTGTTAGATCGATCGTACTTGGCGAAGATGTTTGGGATTAGGAGAGACAAATACCAAAATCGAGGGATTCCTCGTATTTACTCGATGGTTACGATTCTCTGTGGAACCTTCTTTAGGCAGTAGAAGTGAAAAAGTCCTGTTTAATGTATTTAATAGACTGTGGATGCTTATGCAAATTCGTATCATTATTAGATTTAGCAGATGCTTATGCAAATTGATGTCTTTACATATACAGATAACGAACAGAAACATTAATTAAAGTATGATTTGTCTTCTAAATGTTTTAACGTGCATTTTATATTGATGTATTTATACTTGTCATAAATGCATAGATATTCGGAGTATAGTAATTAACAAAATAACGGAGAAGATACTGTGGAGTCTGATGAAGGCGAACATTTTTACAGAAACTCATCTTACAGATCTTACATGTTTTTGTATAATAGTATAGG